TCTTCCACTATTAACGCTTTGTTGAAGCTGAAAATCATCCATCGCTTCCACCGGCCTCGTGTGCGTGTGTAAACATGCCCATACTAAAAGTACCAGTCCTTTCTTAGCGCAAAAACTGTGTATTTTGCCTTTAACAGCTCTTAAACCGTTATTGTTGAAGTTTTCTGTTGTAAAGGCCTCCTCCAGAAGGGAAAAGAGTGGCCGAAATTAGACTAGGTGTGTAAATTCAAAGCTATACCAGTCTTCAACGGAGATGAAGCTTTTGAATTGAGAATAATAAACCAGTTTCAGAAAAAAATACTAAATGAATTCAAAACGGATGAATACACAATACCTATGCAACCATAAAGTTCTGCCCGCAAAGCCACCGCACCCGACCAAGCCTTTGGGCGAAAACGGATGAAACGTGCCGTGATTGGTGGGCGCAAGCCATGGTATACAACAGTGTCCTGGTCAGCATTACCATCAAATTCCTAGACATTAATCCATTTGCCAAAGATTAAAGACGGAGTAAAAATAAATGAATGAATGAATAACTGAACAAATAAACTGAGGTATGGTCTGTGGCAGTGCATCATTGTTTACGGCTATAAATCTAGCAAGCCTGAGCATAAATGATGATAGAACCTTTCCTTATTTGGTGCCCCATACCAGAAAAAAGGTGAATTTCACCATTCAGGTAACAAATTTCTATCGGTTGGATAGGGCGGTACGTTTTGTAATCTGCCGGATTTATTCAATAGCCGGCGTAGTCACTATATTAATAGCCAGGGTCAGAAGTGCTTGAAAGAGAGAGAAATCCCAAGCTTAAAGAAAAAGTAGCAAAGGTGTTAATAGTCAAAAGAGTTTCGCCAGATTTGTTCAAAACACGAGCAAGTGTAAAGCTCTGACCCTTTAATGGTTTGAAGGATTTTTAGCATGATGTTAACCCTTTTATGTATTTTTCTTGATATAGAATAGCATCTTAAGTCGCTTGGTATTTGTATCTTTTAAAATTGTGCCTTATTAAGAGAATTTTGACTTATTAAGATAATTTTACCTTATCTGTGTGTTCTCCTTCCTCTCTATAGTATTGGAAGCTCACGCCATCCACACTGTACTGTAGCTTGTACTTGGTCACCTGATGGGGAAAAATGGTGCTATGTCTTCCCTGAGTTGCCACTCCTGTTACCTTGGTGAACAATTGCCCGAGATCAATCTGCAGCCAGGAGTTTTCATTAGTGCCAGCCCTCCAACCTCCATTGCCTTCTTCATAATTTAGCCTACCAAGCTTTGGGCCGTGATACGAAGAATACTGGGATGAAGCACTTATGCTTCCATCTGAGATTGCAAAGTTCTCCATGCCAAGAGGTTTTCCACATTCTAAAAGAAAAATGACAAACAGATAAGAGACACCCACCAGCAATATGCACTAACAAGAACAAGAATCTATGTGAATTATAACATCTCAAGTTTCGTTAACAGAACACAGAAAAATTTCGCTGTGGCAGGTGGATATGGGGTTGTAAATAGAAGGATTTAGGGGGAAAAAGATAGGTGCCTAACAAGATCAGAACACAAGCAACATTTTTATGAATCATATGTTGAGTAGTACTCTGAAGTAACATTACTTAGTACTAAGATTTACAATTGACCTGGAGGTTTTAACTAACAGAAGGTTCAATATAGATAGAGTGTCGCCATCATAGATTTCAGGAACAATAATCAGCGACATGACTTAAACACAACAGAGTTCAGTACAGGCAAGCGCATGATGGTATCATATGATTTAAAGTACCAGAATCCTTCAAGTTTTCGTATTATTGATATTTTTATTTCATGCCAGTGTGTTTCCTAAATTCAAGTTATGCGGAGACATGAAATGAATAGGTGAACTTGATATCATCATGTAAATGGTGAACTCGACATGCTATCAGAATTTCTCCTTCAGCTGAAATCTTACTCAGAAATGCAATTTTGTTAGTGTTTATCAATATGCGCAGAAATATCCAAGCCTTTTTTTTTTATTTTGGTCAGCTACTATGTGTATCAATTAGCACGACCTACTTTGTGTAAATCTGATTGGTTACTAGTGTGATTTATTGTTACTGAGCCTACCAGTAATTTACCATTGTGCTTGAGCTATTACTTTTACACTAGTGATATATGAAAAAAACGCACTTAGCTGTTTTCAGGCAATCAAGAGTGTAACTTTTCATGTATGTCAGTATTGTGATATGAATTAACCAAAACCAAACAAGTAACTAAAAATGGAGTTGTCGTCTACCAAATTAAAGCTTAATACACATGTGTTGCTACCAAGTTTAGATATCAATGCTAATCTGAATCATTATGAAGAGAATTTGGAAGAATGCCAAGCTTACAGGAAGTCATGAAATGTAAGGTTTGAATAATTCTGGGCATTACTTGCAAAAAAATAATACTAATCACAATTCAGTTGTGACATTAAACTACTAGGCTCTTATAAGCAATGGGATATAGGCTTTGTAGAAAATAATTTATGAAAACCAAAACTTCACATCATTCCATATTTTGTGCTGGCCAATAACTTGTTTCAATACTGGCAAGTAAAATACATTTAAATTGGACATCTTAAGCATTACACGCCAAAATGATCCTTAAAATGTGATAAGATATCCTTTCGTATATGAGCACGATCCTTCGCAGTAAAGCACTATTTGAGCAATAGTGAAAATCAAACCTGAAAAAAATTTCAGGCCTGTACGGGATTCGAACCACTGACCTCTGCGATACTAGTGCAGCGCTCTACCAATTGAGCTAACAAGCCAACTGGGAGCAGGCCATCAAATTAATTCGACATAAACCCGTAGATGATAAATCAAACAACAACAAACATATGAAACATATGT